GGAGGCAGGACCAAAGGAGACAAAAAGCAAGAACTAGGGAAAGGCAGAATGAAGGGAAAAAACCCCTTCCCTGCCATTTAAAGATAAGGAGACACTGAGACTGCCAATTGTGGAAACCATGTGGCCGGTAAACAGTCCTTTGAGGATGTCCTCGTCTATGACTGAGTTGTCCATAGCTCTTCCAACAAGGCACAAACAGGACCCGTCTCCTGTCTGGCAGGTGGCCGCAGCCCCTGACTGGGATGCTGAGCAGTGGGACAAACACCAGTCCAGAGCCCTGTGGGTTCCCGAAATCCCTTCTGCATTTGATCTCTTTCTTGTCCCAGTTGGGAGTGGTGGGTCAGACACTCTTCTGCTCACCTAGACCCTGTGGGCATGAAGAAATATGTGAGCCCCACCACTGACTGTCTTGCTGGGGTAAAGCACCATCTTGTTTTCCCCACAAAGCCTGCCAAGAGCCCACTGTGTTTGGGGTATCAGCTGAGCAGGCTGTGAAGCTCTTCTCAGTGCCCTGACGGGCTCCTGATTGGGGATCTTCTCTGTCAAAGCACTAGCAGGACCCCCAGCCTCTCACTCCCTACCACTTTGTTCCCAGCACCTTGTATCCCCACTCTGGAGGGCAATGAGAAATCCCTTCCCCATCAAACACAGCAAACATCCACCTGAAGGGAGGGCAAATAAACACCCTTTTCTGACCATTTTCTATGACATCCTTCCTCCTTGCCCCACGATGGAGGATGGCTGCAGTCAAGGTAACAAGCAGGGCAGTGTTTCTCGGTGGTAGCTCTCTACCCATGGGACAGGAGACCTACCCTCCCCTCCCTTCAGCTCTCCCATACTTCACATGCAGGGTCCCTAAAGCTTGAGGATGACCCTCCTGGCTGGGGAAAGATGCCATAAACTCCACAGCATCATTGACTCTGCATCCAGTGCACTGTGGTCATCTTTGTATGATGATGATGCTTTGCTGGAGGAAACAGGGTCTCGATGCTGGTTTGCTAGGCTTTCCATTGAGTTTTCTTGGCATCCAAGAGAAAGGAACTCTCTCTCTCCTTCATGTGAAGAAGAGTATCTGAGTCCATCTTTTTTGGAGCAGATAATGCTGAAGAAAGAGAAGAAAGGTTGGAGATGGTCCCTCAAGAGGTCTTTTTAAGGGGTGCAAGACCATACCACAGAGGCACCTGTAAGCATCTCTGACTGGTTGATGCCAATGTCATGTAGCCATTCCCCCTCTCAGCTCCATTCAGTAAAGACTTGCCACTGCACTCTAGTGAGGTTTTTCTCTGCAGCCATCCTGCAGTTTCAGAGCTTTATTTCCTCCAGACAATGGCAGATGTGCAGGGAAATGGCCCTACGCTGGGAAATGGCTCTACACTGTTAGCCAGGTCTGCAAGGGCAGTAGCCAGCCCCACAGGTTTGCTCTGAGGGCTTCAGCTCAGGTGCTCAGCACCATCCTTGGGACTGGTTCCCTTATGTTTCATGTGGTACCAGCCAGTGGTTTTGCCAGGTCTTTCTAACATAAAGTTTCTGGAGAGTGAGTATCCGCAACAGGAGTTGAAAGTGTTCTTGAAATCCTTGAAGTTGGTTCCCTGGGTCATATTCATTCATCTCTCTGTATTTTCTGACTTAGCACTGGTGCATCCTCAGGTTGGATCTCCAGCGAGGAGCTGGGGCAGGAGCTAGGTTTATCTCATTGCTAACTGAGGAGGACCTGGGAGGATCATCGGATTTTTCATGGGTGACCTCTCATGGTTACAGGGTTGGTGTTGGTCTATACCAGCCCCAGTGACAAGGAAACCGAAGAAGCCAACTACCAGAGGCATCTGGGAAGGAAAGCAAGCTAGAAAATGGAAGATGTGATGGAGAACCTCCTAATCCATTGAGTGCTGAGATCCTCTACGTGTCCTAGCACACAAGCAGCAAGAATAGGGGTCAGTGAGCGTGAGTCCTTCTCATCAGGAGACCTCCCTTTCCTCGTAACAGACCCCGCATTTGCCTTCAGGAGCAATTCAGCACGTTGAAGGAAGCAGAGTCTGCTTGTCTTGGCAAGACCCCACAGAGACGAACATGTTGTGACAAGCCCATCCCTAGGGTGCAAAAGTCCTAAGAAGGTTCAAACTGGTATCCACTGTCCAGCAGCATGGTATATCCCTGAACCTGATGTCCTCCATCTTCAGGACACCTCTGACCACCTGCATCCCCTTCCCCACCCCACAGACTCAGATCTGAATGAGGGAACCCTTTTGGCAGCGTCTTGACCCCAAGGGTCCCAGGCCCACCTGTGGCAGCACACCGCGGTTCCTGTGAGACTCTGTGATGGAGACCAGGGACTCGTTTGGCACATGGGGGGCACCAGACCCGCAGGAGCAGTCATGTTGGCTGGGGAAAGGAGGGGGATCCCAGCCCTGGGGCGCACACCCATCTCCCCAAAACACCCCAGCCACCCCAAACTCCTGGGGTCGAATCCTCCAGCACCATCTCTGGGGCAGCCACGCTGCCGAGAGCAGCCCAGCGCTGGGGGCTCTTGCGAAGAAGCCGGCACCAGGGGAAAGCGGGGAATGTGCCGGCAGCCGTGGTGGGGTGGGGGGCTGCCCGCGTCCCCTCCCCGCCATCCCCGACCGTCTGTATTCTGGCTCTGAGGAGTGCTTGGCTCCACCTTCCACCCTTCCCTCCCCCGGTGCTAAGCAGCAATCCAGCTAGAGACATCCAGCGGGGTATTAGTAAAAACCAAGCCTCCCTCTAGGAATGGCACTCGCCTGAGAGCCTCCCCGCACCGCGCGCCCCGACGCCGCCAGGGCTGGGAGGGAGAACAGGGGGGCTATTGGGATACAAATCACAGCCCTCGCAGGATCTGCCCGGCACACTGGCCAGCAATGTAAGTTTTCCAACCTGAGCTCATTCTCATGCGCGCGTGTTCACGCGTGCTTTTTTCCCCCTACTTTCTCTTACTTTTTTTGATTTCCCCAGTGAGGGTCCGTGTCGCCCTCTGAAACTCGACAGATAGCAGCCCTTGCTCTGTGTTGGCTCTTTTTCAGCTAAGCCAGAGGATTGCTTTTGTATCACTTTTTTTTTCTTTTTTAAATTTCTTTCTTCTTTTTTTAATTTTTTAAAATTTCTGAATGGGGGGGATAGAAAGGCCTTTATTTTTAGAGCATTTCTTTCTCCAAGGGGGGAACTGCTGCACGGTGGCAGGGACTTTTAGAGGTGACTGCAGACAGGAGAGAGGAGGAATGTGTGAGGCAGGCAACCCAAAGCCTTGGCTTGTCTCAAAGTTAAACGTGATGTATGTTTGCATCTGTATATATATATATATATGTATATGCATACATACACAGACAGGCAGATGTGTGTGGATGCAATGTAGATGCATTTTAAGTCACTTGGCTTATCATCTGCAAGACGAGGGTGAGGGTGTTCCCGCAGAGGCATTTTCCCACAGCCAGGATCAGGGTCTCTGGGTGCAGATCCGGGCTCCGGGCTGGTTCCCTGCCCAGCAGTGACACCCGCTCAGCTTCCCCGGTAGCCGGGAGATGCATCCCTTCTGGTTTACCGATACCGTGCTGATGCTCCCCCTCCCATGTCTTCCCCTGGGTGCCGTGCTGGCATTTCATCGCACATCTTCAAAAGAAAGGGACACTTTCCCACACAAGTTTTGTGGCTGTCATCCCCATCCTGCTCCCCGTGGGAAGCTGCACCCAGGCAGGATGGTCCACGTATCTCTCCTTTCAGGTCCCCAACCCCCCTGATCCCTCTTGCCGCAGGCCCCTCTGCACATGTCAGCTCCAGATGACTGTAGAGATAGGGAGCAATATCGCAATTAATCAGGGGCCCTGACCCATCCCCACCCCCATCGATCACGGGTTTTGCGGTGTGCACAGCAATTGCTTTGCTTGTGCTTTTATCGAGCAGCCCCTGTCTCATGGTCAGCTCTTTGGAGAGCTTGGACTCCCTTTTGGATTTGGTGGTTGCTTCGCCTTTTCTATCTTTTTCCCCCCTCTTTCCTTTCTTTCCTTTGTTTTTGTCTTCCTCCCTCCCTTCCCCAGTGAGAAGAAGGACGTGAAGAAGGGAGAAAAGGCTCACAAGCGACGATGGCTGATGACCAAGACCTTTCAGAGGTGGAGATGAGCCCAGTGGGCTCTGAAGACCACCACTGCCTCTCGCCAGGACCCTCCATGGTGTCGGACAACTCTCCGCACCTCGCCGGCTCTGGGAACGGGGAGATGGGGAAGGTCAAGAAGGAACAGCAAGACTCAGAGGCGGACGATGACAAGTTCCCAGTGTGCATCCGCGAGGCGGTCAGCCAGGTGCTGAGCGGCTATGACTGGACCCTGGTACCCATGCCTGTCCGGGTCAATGGAAGTAACAAGAGCAAACCCCACGTCAAGCGGCCCATGAATGCCTTCATGGTCTGGGCACAGGCTGCCCGGAGGAAACTGGCTGACCAGTACCCGCACCTCCACAATGCTGAGCTCAGTAAGACCTTGGGGAAGCTCTGGAGGTAAGAGCGGGCGGGCAGAGGGGGAGTGCGAGGGCCAGGGTCTGGAGATGTCCTGGAGAGGACTGTGTGGTCACGCGGAAGGATGAAGACTTAGCAAGATGGAAGGGGTGTCCCTTGAGGAGACTTCTACCCCTGTGGGGAGGCACCTCGCAGGAGGCACAGTTGGTGACTAGGGCAAGAAGGAGTGGTTGGCTGTAGTGAAGGCTTCCTCAGCAGAGCTCACTTCCATCCTGGGTGGCAGCCCTTTCTACATGTTTCCCACTAGCTTCTCCTGTTGTTCCCGACCAGGACACTCTCATCCTGGTCCTCTCCTGCCTGACTGCCAGGGGAGATCTTGTTTTCTTGGCTCATCCTCTCTGTTGGGTCAAGTTGTGCACTAGCAGGAACCAGGCTGAGCCCCATCCAACTTAACTCACTGGTGGCTGCCTCAAGCCTGTTTGAACTCAGGTCCCAATGCCAAGAGGGGTTATTTTCTCTGCAGGGCCGCAGAGCAAGCGGGAAACCAAGTTACGGCCGAGGAGGAAGGTCAGGGGAAGGGAACCAGGTGTCCTTCCCAGGACGGTCCCAGTTTTAGCAGGCCATGCAGGTGCAGCAATATGGACAAGGAGAGACCTTGCTAGAAAGTGGGGGCTGAGGCTTAGCAGAAAGGAAGAGACTTGCAACAGTCCCAGCCTTAGCAGGCTCTCTTGCAACGTGCCGGCTCAAACCAGCCCCATCTCCCTTTGCACTCAGAGAGATGCCCTCTGTTCTTGCTGGCACAGACACGCTTGTCCTTCTGCCCCCACCAGTTTGTTGTGCCTATTTTCATTTTGGCTTCGTGCAGAACCCTGAGTCCTTTAGGTACCCTTTCCAACCCACTTCTCCTTCCTCTGGCAGACCGACGGGCCACCCCAATTGATTGTGGGTGTGCAGAGACCCATCGTGCCCAAGCCAAGTGTGTCAGGCTGGCCGTGCCACTTCTTTCCCATCTGACAGTCTCTGCCGATAACTCCATCAACCTGTTATAAACATTTTCTGCCACGAGTCCCCAGCAATGTCCTCCCCCTCGCCTTGCACCAACCAACACAAACCAAAACTCATGCAAACAGGCCTTCTCATTCCCTCTTCTGCCCTGACGGCTTTTCATGGAGGAAGCCCTCAACCTTGGGTGGGCCAAGAGACATTTTTCCAAGCCGAAGCAAAACACACCCCATTCAGCAGCTGATGCCAAGGTCTCCTCCTGGCTTCAAATCTCCTTGCTCGCAAGGAACTGAGCCCTTGGGCATTAGCTTCTCCTTCTGCTACGTCAGCCCATTTACCCCCACCTGCCAGTGTCTAGTGTAACCCCAGCAAAGGGATTTCTTTGGGAAGTTGAAGGCTGGGTGTGACTGCCGATGTCTCATTTGATGCTCTTTCCTGCTTTGTTCCCCGCCGCCTTCCCTTCCCTTTACCATGGCACTTTTAGTCCTGCCCGGGGCTCTGCTGCCAGTCTCTGAACTGTGAAGCTGTGCTGAAGGGGTGTGTGTGTGTGGGGGGAGGAACGCAATGTTTTGTTCCCAAAGTTATTTCAAGGTATCGTTCCTTTATTGCAAAATATTGCCAGATTTTAGAGCAATGGCCTCCCTCCGGACACTACATTTCCCATGAAAATATAGCAGAGCAGTAAACCCCTCCATAGATATTGCATTGAGAGCGCAGGGAGACACAGCCCCCGGGCCATGGCCACATTCATGCACCTGACTGCCTCCCTGCTGCCAGGGCATGGCTCCTGCCGCTGGCCGCATGGGACTCAGAGCAGAGGGATGCTGCTGCCGGGTGATGGTCAAGGTTCCTGGATGTTTCTTAGGGCACTGTGTGGCCAGTGAGCGTGGGTCAGGCCAAGAAGCTTGCGGGATCAGGCGTGGGGTTGTTGTGTGCTGCTGGGTTTGCCACTGGTTGCTCTGCGTGAGCACATCTCCTCTCGGAGTGTCCCTAGCGCAGGCTGCGGCTCTCCGAGCTGTGTCAGCCCCTACCAGGACCGTACAGCAGAATAAGCTGGGTTATAGGTGCAGTCAGTGTCTGGCCTGGGTAGGGCTGTGTGTGTGTCTTTCTGTGAGGCTGGGGGGGAAACATCAGACCACAAAACTCCAGGGGAAGTAGCCCAAAGGTTATGAGGATAGTAGCCCCGAGCCTTGCCTTCCAGCCACAGTATGGTTGGGTCTTCCTCCATTGAGGTTCCCACTGTCCTCATCCACGCTGTCCCCAAGGTATAGCTCCTACACGTTGGTACAACTGCAAGCGCTGGGTTTTGCTCTGAACGGCTTAGTCTCAAACATTTGATGAGGGTCCCTGCAAAGGGCCCTGGTTGTTCATGTTTCCCCATCCTTACAAGGTGGCCACCGAAACCCTACAGCACATCGCTAGTTGCTTTGGAAAACGTGGGTGACATATTTCTGTGTGGGCTGCTCTGAGCTTATACAGGTAAAGGGCACGTTAGGCAGAGAGGCGGGCGCTGATGAATACAGAGACTGCCTGCAGACCACCACTAAACCAAGCATGTCCCCAGTGATCGGCACCGGGTGGGGATGGCAGAGGCTGGGCAATCTTGAAAGGCAGCTAGCAGATTGAGCGATAACCCCAGTGCCGTCCCACATGCTCCTCTGCAAAATGGTCTGCAATAGCCTGGGCTTTTTCTTTTTAAAGTCTGGCATTTCCTCCTCTGTGCCACCACTGTGTCCTCCATGGGTCCCAGTTGGGAAGGGCTGCAGGAGATGCCCCGATGGCCACGCTACCCGCCTGGCCCCAAGTGCGGTGCTGGGGGGGCTTACAGCCCCATCCACCTCCTCCAGTCTGTGCATACTAAGGGTGCGTGAGGGGTGCATTGACAAACCGAATGTACTAAAAAAGAAGAAGAAAGGAGGGTTTCTGTGCTTGACAGTCATGAAATCTTGCCTTGGCTGCTTTCCTTCCCTGGGATGGGACAGGGAGCAGCTCTCAAATGGAGGCTGGCTGCTGAAAATGTCGGCATGACTCTCAGCCAAAATGCCAGCCAGCACCACCTCCAGGGCCAAAAACAAGTGAGGCACGGGAGGAAGGGGAGGAAGACTCGGTAGGGAGGAGCAAGGGGACCCGATGGAGAGATCTTTGCATAGGGGTGGCAGCACCCAGAGAATAGGGTCATGCTCACAAAATCCAGGGCTGTGGACGTGCAGGAGAGCCCGCCTGACTGCTTTCTGCTTGCAGCCAGCCCTTGCCTTGCATCAGCCCCGATGCTCAACCCCAGCACCACACTGACTCATCGGCAGCTGAGTCCCGGCACAGGGTCAGGCCTCTGGCTGCTGAGCCAGTCGCCTGGCACGCAGCGCGGTGCAATGCCAGGCAGCAGAAGGGGAGGCTGCGAGAGGCGGGCAGAAAGATTTTAGCCCATCTTTCTCATTCCAGAGCAGGGTGCTGGATGCTTGCCCCTCTCCCCTTGGCTCCCGGGTGAGCGCTTGTCTGGAGGGTGGTGAGGGCTTGGTGAAGCCCCATGAAGGGCTTTGCTCTGTGATCCATAACTTCTCTGCCCATGCCGAGATTCCTTTGCATTACGGACTGGGAAGTGTGGGGGGCAGAAGGGGGAGGGCAGGAAGCAAGTGAAATCCAAATCCCCCCAAATCTCCTGGCCTTTGCCTGCTCGCACCAGTTTCACTTTGCTAAAGCCGATTTGAGCTCTGATCCCAGCGGGAGGGAGGAGGGAGCAGGCAGCCTTGGAAAGGAGAAGGCAAAGACGCGGGGAGCGGACTTGCTGCTGTCCTGCTGGTGGCACTGCCCATGGGCTGCTGTCAACGAGAAAGGAGGTGAGGCACCTGGGCATAGCTCAGAGGGCAGAGATCTGACTTCTGCATAGCCTCAAGTGGCTCTGGTTCACACCATCTACGAGATGCATCTGGGACGCTGAGCTTCGGTCTCCACAGGAGGCTCTGCTCTGAGCTTGCCATGCAGTGCGCCATGCAGACCAAAGCTGGCTGAGGTGCCCATGTAGAAAGAGACCTTTCATTCCCAACCACGGCATTTTATCAGCTTTAGCACCATCTGGGTTGGGAGTGCAAAGATGCCTGAGCCTGGCTGCCTTATACTGAAGTGTCCTGGGTTGCAAGGCCACAGGGTTTGCCTCTATTCTCCATCTCCATGGAGCTGGAGAATTCTGCAAGGATGAAAGTTTTACCAAGGCAAGGTCACCTCCAAGTCCGTGATGCCTATGGGGACTGGCCAGCCTATCCTTTCGGACCACTTGGAGGGCTGTCTGGAGCGGCGCAGGCTGAGGGATTAGAACCCTCCAGGATGTGTGAGCATGGTGTACGTTGGTGGGAGGGAGACAGGAAAGCTGGTGTTGGATTCACAGTGGTTCAATTGCTTTAATCTCCGGGATTAAGGCAGTGGAGGAATGCGGTGTGTGGCCGCAACCTGCTCAAGCTGCCAGGAGTAAACCCAGGTCAGCACTGTAATGGGCTCCAGCCAGTGCCACACGCCTTCTGGCTGCTGGCTGGGGGGATGCACAAGGAGCAGGGAGAAGGGGTGCTTGGAAACCAACACGTTACTTGCTGGTGATCCCTTTGATCTCCCTCCATAGTTTAATCTGTGTGCTCCTTGAGCCACACCTCACCTTCAGTTTTTCAGGCCAGTTCAGGCCTTTGCATCTTCCTCGGTGCCTACAGTTCAACAGAATTGGTCACATTTTAGTGCTAAGGGCTTCCAGGGGTACCAAGGTGCTGGCACAGCCCCATCCCCAGGCAGTTCTTTTGTTGGGGGGAAAAAAGCATGGGCATCTCATACATGGAATATTTTTTGCCGTTTGGGAGCCCTGACGTTTCTAATGGCTGTTGGAGTTGCAAGTCACGGGAAAAGTGGTCCCTTTTGAGAGCCCTGGTTTCTGGCTGGAAGCAGGATGACCTTGAGTCAACAACAATATTTGAGGGGAAAAAATCATAAAATGAAACTGAAGTGCTTCCAACTGAGACACTGCTAAAGACTTGAGCAATGAGGTTGACCTCATCTTCAAGCATTCTGAGCCATCCTGCATGCACATTTCACGATTTCCTTGGAAAAGCCTATCTTCACTAGAGCAGCCCATGATCTGGCAGGGATACAGAGAAGCAGCTCGCATTTCTGCAGTGCCTTTCATCCAGAGACCAAAGCTCATCTATTTCGACAAGCCTAGCAATGTAGCAGCTAAATTTTTTACAACTGCTCGGCTAAGTTCAAGAAAGGCTGGTCCTTTGTGCTTCAGCCTTTTGCATTATCCATGTCTAAGGTGAGCAGGAGCTCCAGGAATAGCAGAATACACTGTTTTCCCCCCTTCAAAATTTTCTTTAATCCCCTTCTAGGATATTGCAAAATACTTAAAGGCCCAGCAAGGTCCACGTAGCAACATGGGTACTGCGGAGCCAACACCGACTGCTGTCATTTGTGCTCAGCATAGCCTCGAACTTGGAGCAGAGCCTGTGGGAGGGTGGGAGGTTAAACTGCAATAAATACAGTCTGAGGAAGAGACATGCAGGAGGCAGCACTACAGGTAGCAAGGGTGTGCCACACTGCCTCAGTCCAAAGGATGATCCCAACTGCCCTTAATTTTGCCCAAAGTCTTTGAAAGCAGCTTGCCCAGCCCTATTTTGCATGGCTATGAAAGGCTGCGCTTTGCCTTTGGGCAATGTAAGAGAGGGTCTTAAACTTACTGAGGTGAGAAGCATCACGCAGCTGGGAAAGGGGGACCCAGGGCTGGCACCAAACAGCATCAGGGCTTAATAATTAACAAGGAGGAGGAGAACATTGCCATCTCCACCGAAACACTTCCAAGCTCTCCTTGTTGTTCTGCAAAATACCTTCAATGAGGCAACACCCTGACATCTGGATTTACATGCTGTGTCCCACGATGTTGTGTATAGGTGGGGATTTTTTTCTGATGTACCTGCCCCTCTCCTTCCCCTCTTCTCTTCTTTACCACCTTGGCTTCTGCAGGCTGTTGAATGAAAGTGACAAGCGGCCCTTCATTGAAGAGGCGGAGCGGCTGAGGATGCAGCACAAGAAGGACCATCCTGATTACAAGTACCAGCCCCGCCGGCGGAAAAACGGCAAGGCCACACAAGGCGAGGGCGAAGGCCAGGTGGAGGGGGAGACTGGAGGGGCTGCCGCCATCCAGGCCCACTACAAGAACGCCCACCTGGATCACAGGCATCCTGGTGAAGGGTCGCCCATGTCCGATGGTCATCCAGAACACTCCTCAGGTGAGTCCCAGGTCTCTGTGAACTTACTGACAGGTTACAGCCAACTCAGAGGCACAAAAAAGACAAGCTGTCATGGTGAAAGCCTTAGCGACGTGGCTCACACCTTGCTCGTGACCCAACAAACTCTGCTGGAGTCAGCAGTATAGGGACGTGCCTGAGTTTCACGGGCACTTGCATTCCTCTGGTCAGGCAACATATCGTTGCACCCTCCCTCTTTTTCCACACGATCTAACCATGTTTGGTTTTGGCTGGCTATTTCTCTCTCCCTCCACTGAAGTCTCCAGCCAGACAGTTGCGGAGCGGAGCAGAGCCAGCATGTGTATAAAGCCCAGGCATAAAGCAGTAACTCACCTCTTCTCTCTCTTTCCTCCTCAAAATGTTTTTCACGTTGCAGGTCAGAGCCATGGGCCCCCCACACCTCCCACCACCCCTAAGACTGAGCTGCAGGCAGGCAAAGCCGACTCCAAACGAGAAGGGCGTTCCTTGGGGGAAGGGGGAAAGCCACACATTGACTTTGGCAATGTGGACATCGGGGAGATCAGCCATGAAGTGATGTCCAACATGGAGACCTTTGATGTGAATGAATTTGACCAATATCTGCCGCCCAACGGACACGCTGGCCACCCAGGCCATGTTGGGGGCTACGCGGCAGCAGCGGCTGCTGGCTACGGCCTCGGGAGCGCCCTGGCTGCAGCCAGCGGACACTCCGCCTGGATCTCCAAACAGCATGGAGTCTCCTTGTCCACTGCCACCTCATCGGTGGTGGACTCCAAGGCCCAGGTGAAAACGGAGGGGTCTGCCCCTGGAGGCCATTACACCGACCAGCCCTCCACCTCCCAGATAGCTTACACATCCCTGAGTCTGCCCCACTACGGTTCAGCCTTCCCCTCCATCTCCAGGCCACAGTTCGCCTACCCGGACCACCAGCCATCGGGACCCTACTACAGCCATTCCACCCAAGCCTCTGGCCTCTACTCTGCCTTCTCCTATATGGGACCTTCCCAACGTCCCCTTTACACTGCCATCTCTGACCCTGCACCCTCTGTGCCACAGTCCCACAGCCCCACACATTGGGAACAGCCCGTCTATACGACTCTCTCCAGACCGTAGGGAATGGGGAATGGTGACCGAAGCAGCGACGGAAAGGCTCCGAAGAATCAGCACAGGCAGAAGAGCCTCCGAACTCCGAGGTCACTCAGTGCCATCCAGCCACCAGAACCCACTGAGTATACAGAAGTGCCTTTCTTGACCCCGGCTATCGCTGGCTCACCCGCCTAGAGGAAGGTTTTTTGTCCTTTCGCCCTTTACCGATTTCACGCAGGCCACGCGACTGGCTTGCGACACCTTATTGGCCTTCTAGATGAGGATTCTAGACATGGAGTGACTGGTCCGTGGTGGGTTTCGTTGTGCGCACCCTGGACTGTACGACGAGTGAGACTGTCCTTTTCTTCCCCTCCCCAAACTGCTCCAGGTAGTTAGCAAGTGTTTCCAACAGGCCACAATGGCCAACGCTTTGTCACCTGCTGCAGGTGAAGGGTGGTTGCTCAGCCTTGGTGAACACGTTATGGGAGCAGTAGTAGGGAGGACGGCACGGCTGGCTTCTTTGCGATCAGCGTCGTGCAGCAGTCCTGCCTAAGATTCACACGTGCATGAATCTTGAACCCCGCTGGAAGACCAACCTACGCTTGCTTCCCTGCTGATTTCCACAGCTGCATCCTAGCTTTTCTCCCTGCCTCTCCCTCCGTCCTGTCTGTGTTTAACCCCACACTC